AAGAGTAAACTTCATTGCAGCATCGAGTTGGCTTCTAATTCATTATCTGACCCAAGAGTTTATCGTCGCGGCGAAGAAAGAACTTCGCCGCAGTGAACTTTTCTAAACTATTCTGAATTTACTAAATTTCCCTCCGCTTGCTTCCTTATTTTAATCTTCAATCTTTATTGATCTCTAATAGGAACAAGCTTCATAGTGCTTCAAATCTGCTTCAGAACTTCCCCGAATCCTGAGATTCGCTTGCTTCTGGGTCCAGAAACTCAATTCCGCTCAGTATTTGCTCTAATTGCATGTTTTTGCCTGAAACATAAAATATATGAAATTAAGTTGCAATTCATGCACAAATGAAAGAAGAAGTATCCAAAATCCGGCCAAAAAGCCTAGATAAAACAGTATAATCCTAGGATTATCATCTAATACGGTCTCAATTTTGAATAAATTGAAAGAATATAAATCTTTAAGAATAAAAAAAATGAAATCATAATGATAAAAGGGGTTGCTCATGGGATCGTGTTCCATAATTGTAAACAATTTTATTATAGGGTAATGTTATATAATTGTTCTCTCTCACCAACAGTTAAGTATTATTTCTCCTGTATTTGTATTGCAAGACGACACAACTCCGGCGTAGTCTCCACCGAAATACTACATAAACTGCCTCGTCGTTTAATTTATCCAGGTATGACGCATATTTTTTGTCGTATTTTCAGTGGATTACTAGAGCTGGTTGACCATATTACACGACGTTAATTTACATTGTATTCTAATTCCAGAAAATGATGCGACGTATTGTGTCGTCTTGTCTATGCAACAACCAATATTATACGACAAAATCATGGCACACTATTTCGCGTAGATGAAATTTTGTCCAAAACCGGCAATCCTTGTAGCATCGTTTTAGACACTTTTTCCAGTAGTGTTAATCATTTACCATAATCTTCTTTTCGGTTTTTAAACCACTGTTATACATTAAATCAATCATTAATTTCATTAAAATCCATTTTTGATCGGTAAATCAATCTTAATTAGATAAGAAAAAACCATTGACTTTTGTGAAAGTCAGAGAAAACAATTAAAGAAGAGGTTTCTATTACAATTTTCTAATCCACCAAGAAAAATTTTGCAAGGCTAAACCAGTTTCAATAGGCCTTATTTCGTTAATAAAATAAAACAAAAGATAATTCATATAAAATATTCGATCTAGACTAGGTTTAAGTATTGGATATTATATGTGTTCTCAACCGTAGGATAAGTTAATTAAAAGCCTTATGTACTTTGAAAAATATTTATTAAAATATCAATGCTAAAAGTTGGTGCAGACACCGCCCTGTTACACTTTTTTAATTAAACATAGGGAGAACGACATTTTCCCAACCAAGCTTTGGAAAAACGACACTTTCCCACCCACCTTTATGTTCTGTTAAGAAAATTCGTTCTCTAATATATACAAAGAATGCAAAGACAAAAATACCCTTCCCTCTTCTTCTCTTTTCTTCTTTCTCCTTTGCCAGAATTGCACCTGGCCGGGTGAAGCTAGAAGACACAAGCCCCCTGGAAGCCTAACTCGGCTTTAAGTTCACTAGATTGTGTTACAATATTAACATTACAACAAGAAACTGATTTTAAAAACAAATCATCATCTTCAAAGCTGCAAATGGTATCAAAATGTTTATTTTAAAACGCGTGTAGAAGGTTGAACATAGAAAGGGAGATAAAAAGGCAAAACTAGCTGGGAACTGCTAATTGTTTCTTCCCCTTCTTGCTCCCACGGGCTGTCTCCCCTCCCCTGGTCATTCTAGAGAGTATATCTGCTTGCTTTGTGTTCCCTTCCTGATTAAGGCTAGCAGTCAAATCCTCACAGCTCTTCCAATCAGTGGCTCCTGCTTTTGCAAGAATTTTACACAATTAAGAATATGCATTGAGAGTTTTCCCTACTGCTAAGAGAGTATCCAACACCCTTCTCATAGCTAGAAAAGTCTACAATGTAGTCTCTCTCCAAACAAAAATCCAACAACTTCGTAGCAGCAATGGTCTTCCCTTTCAAAGACAGAACAAATAGAAGACGATCAACATTGGGTGCACAACCACTGTGCATCAGTATATCAATGCGTCCAAGGGCTTCCTCAACATGACCTCTCATAAGCAAAGCTTCCAAGACCTTGGCGACCAAATCGCATTCGGCTAAATCGACGCGGATTTGGTGTGATTTTGTGTTTACCATCCCTTCACCGATCCCATCAATTACCCCAACAATTCGATATAGAAAGAACAAAAATAACAACAACATGACACCAGATCCAGATTTGAATTCCGGCCAATGGTGGGGGAGGAGAAATGATGAGACGTTTCGGCAGACAGAGTAGTGTGTCTTAAGTGAGAAGGAGAGAGAGTTAACTTGGCGGATGAACTGAGCGTATGTGAGAGCTTGACCGGTGATGGCGTTGACGAGAAAGTAGTGGACGGAGTGGGGGTGGGGTGGGGAAGGAAGTGTTTGATATCTGGGCTTTTTTTTTTTTTTTTTTTTTTAGTTTATATATAAGAAATAAAATGACATAATTACCTTAGACTATTTTGTGAATTTACTATTATATCCTTTTTCAATTAAAGTTAATGGATTGTGGGTGGGAAAATATGGTCGTTTCGCCAAACCTGGGTGGGAAAAAGTTGTTCTCCCTTAAACATATTCTATAGTTGGTCTTAAATATTATACTCTTAAAATCTTGGGTTAACACTTGCTTACGCAGGCAACTTGCGGATAAGGAGAAGAGGAAGCACGTCCCAGCATGAATGTACAACTAGAAAACAGGGATTAATTCTTAAATTTAATTCTGTTATTTAATTATGTTGTCTAATCTAGATCACTTTTTATCGGAGAATCTAGATTAACTAATTACGAGGAAGGGAGAACGACTGTTTCCCACTCAAGGTTTGGCAAACTGATACTTTTCCACCCATCAAATTCCAAAACGACGACAATTTCCCACCCACCATTATATTTCGTTAGCAAAATCCATTATTATTTGGTTGTAAACACAAAAATATCATTTATCATTTGATTTAATATTTTTCTTATTATTTTATGTCATATCAACAAATTCAATTATCAATATACACACTCTTTAAATATAGAAGTATTGATACGCTCTCCAGTATATACAAATACAAGAATATAAATTACCAATTTATCCTCCCAATTTTTTTTATTATAAATAATGTTTTATTGGAATTTAACAAAAAATTATATATAATTTTTTTTTTCACAAACTCAATAAATACAAGATCTACCAACTTTCAACAAACCCATTAAAATTTTCAAATGCTCGGGATTAATATCAGAACATCCATAGCACTATCAAATTACAAGAACAAAACTCTCACCACCTGCTTCATCACTCTATTTAGTATCCATGCACAAAAGGACATGTAGGAAAATACAAACACAAATAACCTCGCGCTTTTACTTTTATCAAAGGTTAAAATATTTCAACCAAGCTTAGCGGATTGAATAGTTACACCACAGAACAAAAATTTGAGGATAGTAACTGCAACTTAACAATACAGTGGGTGCTGGGTGGGGTTTTTTGTTGAACGGGTAGTGGGCAAGTTGGCAAGGTAACTATGTGAAGGGGTTGGAAATCACAGAAATCGCCCAAATGCTCCACAAAGTAGAAATAAAAACAAAACTTCAAAACCAAATTAAACTCCACAAAATCAACAAAACAATCCACTTTCAACTGTCAAACACAGACTTCTCTAAACGGCGGTGACAAAGGCAGGGGTGGGCATGTGAGATGACGGGGAGTGATCGGTGGGGGACCATGAGGCAGATGGAGGTGGCGGCGGAGGGTCGGGGGGTGCTGCCACTACGAAGGAGAGTAAAAGTCTTTGAGGCGGTAGCTCAGTGGAGAGGTAAGTAGAATGGGTTTTGGGCAATGAAAAGCTAGTGAGGGAGGCAAGCAAAGTCGTTGGAGGCGGTGAGAGAGGCCGGCTGCGACACCAGTAGGAGGCTGGCTCGTGACTAAAGGTTACGACGCTGCCAACCTAGTGTGACGCCTCTCAAGCATTTCATCAAACACTTGGTGTGCGTCACCCAAACAATCTAGAAGCTTCTGGAATACTCTTGTATATGCTAGAATATTGTAATTAATGTGGTAGTTGGTAGATAGTAGTTGGTAGGTGGTACTTTGGAGTTAGCTAATCTCCACCGTTGATCTCGGAAGATCTAGACCGTTCATTGTATACTCCAACTACTATAAAAGGGGGAGGCCTTCATTTGGCCAAACCATCCAAGAATTGTAAAGTTATCTCAATTAGTAAAGAGTTCTCTTCTAGCATCTCTTGTGAGTTTGTATGAGTGTTTTCTTACTTGCAAGGCTAGGAGCGTGAGCAAGCAAGGCTGACTTAGGGCAATCGTCGAGAGATTAGCACCTAAGGCCGAACGAGTCCGAGGGGAAGCAATCGGGTCGTTACAGTTGGTATCAGAGCAGGAAGATTCTTGGTTCAAGATGTCGTCCAAAGTTTGGCATGAAGAGCAAAGGGGGAGGGAGGCCATTCCTAACCCCAACCCCTCCAAGAAGAACTCTCAAGGAGGGAAGGACAAGTCTGTGGACTTGTTTGCCTCTATGGAAGCTCGTGTTATGCGCAACGAGGTGAATGTTGCCGAAGTGAAGGAACACCTCGACGTCCTCGATCAAAAGATGGACGATGTTGAAGGCATGGTCGAAACCATGGGAGAGTTTCGCCAACATGTTGCCGACAAGCACCAAGCTTTTGAGGAGTTCCAAGCGGTGGTGTTGGACTCTCTCAGGACATTACAAGCTCAAGTGGAAGAGCTCCGATTGGGTCTAGAAGAAAGCAAGGGCGATTAGGCGTTTTGCAAGAGGGCGGTGGCAAACGGGGTCGTCACCAATGCCACACCTCCCGCAAGGGTCGAAGTTCCAAGACCGCGGAAGTATGGGGGAAAGCGGGATGCCTAAGAGCTGGAGAACTTTCTATGGTCCATGGAGAGGTACTTCGAAGCTACTAATGTCCAAAGTGAGCAAGAGAGGGTGAACATTGCAACCGGGTGTCTTGAGGACCATGCAATAGCGTGGTGGCAACGAAAGCATGCCGAGATTATGCAAGGTACATGCATCATCAACATTTGGGAGTTGCTCAAGTGTGAGATTAAAAAGCAATTCTATCCGGGCAACGTGGCATATGAAGCACGGAAGAAGATGTGGGAGCTTAAGCACACGGGGCCGATTTCCAGGTATGTGGATGAATTCTCTAAGCTTATGCTTCAAGTTGATAACATGAATTTGGAAGATTTGCTATTTAATTTTATGGAGGGGCTCCAACCCTGGGCACAACGGGAGCTCCAAAGGCGTCAAGTAGCCAACATCTCTACAGCCCTTACCGAAGCGGACACCCTTGTTGAGTTCCACAAGGGAGAGACATCCAAGCCGAAGAAGGATGGCAAGTCTGATCACGGCAAAGGTGGGGGAGGAAAGGGAGACAAACCATCCCACCGAGAAAAGGGAGATAAGCCGCCGCACAAGAAAGAATGGCGGAAGTATGGCAAGAAGGAGTACAAGCGTCGTGAGAATTGCTATCTTTGTGATGGGGACCACTGGATCCGTGACTGCCCCAAGCGCAAGGCTTTCAATGCCATGTTCGAAGAGAAACAACCTGAGACATCCGCATCCGAGACAGCCAACATGGGATGCCTCCAACTTCTCAATGCCTTGAAGGTAAAGCCCGCACAACCGAAAGCTCAAGACAAGTCCCTTATGCACGTTGAAGCCACCATCAATGGGAAGAAAGTTCAAGCCTTGTTGGACACGGGTGCTTCCCATAACTTCATCAAAGATAGCGAGGCAAGACGATTAGGCCTCAAGGTGGAGAAATCAGACGGATGGCTCAAGACGGTGAATGCTGAAGCTAAACCACTTGGGGGCGTGGCTCGGAACGTTGAGCTACATCTTGGCACATGGAGCGGCAAGGTATCATTTTCTGTTGCACCTTTAGATGATTTTAACCTTGTTCTTGGCATGGAGTTTCTCAGGCAATTCAATGCGGTACCCCTACCGCGATACAACTCTATGTGCATCCTGAAGGGAGTCCCGTGCATGGTTCCAACCGTGAGCAAAGTCGCACCAAGCAACCAACTCTCCGCAATGCAAATTGAGAAGGGACTTAAGCGAAAGGAAGAGACCTTTCTCACCATGGTGCATGAGTTGGAAGACGAGGGAGGTGTGGACACCATGGAGCCGGTACCGGGGGAAATATCCAAAGTCCTTGAAGAATACAAGGACGTCATGCCATCCGAGTTGCCAAAATGCCTACCACCTAGGAGGGAGGTGGACCATAAAACCAAGCTAGAGCCGGGAGCCAAACCACCTGCCAAAGCTCCATACCGGATGTCGCCACTGGAATTAGACGAGTTGCAGAGACAACTCAAAGAACTCTTAGAGGCCGGATTTATCAAGCCTTCAAAAGCACCATACGGAGCTCCGGTCCTCTTTCAAAAGAAGCATGATGGGTCGCTTCGCCTTTGCATCGACTATCGGGCACTTAATAAGGTAACCATAAAAAACAAATATCCCATTCCACTAATTGCCGATTTGTTTGATCAACTTGGACAGGCCAAGTACTTTTCTAAGCTTGATTTGAGATCGAGGTATTACCAAGTGCGGATCGCGGAAGGAGATGAGCCAAAGACCGCATGTGTGACGCGTTACGGAGCCTTTGAGTTCAAAGTCATGCCATTCGGCCTCACCAATGCCCCTGCCACATTTTGCACGCTTATGAACCACATCTTCCATCCAGGTCAAAATGTACTAGAAAGTACCTGAAATCCGACAAAAAGGTATAATGAAAAGTGTATAATTCTCGGATTATCACACCGCTACCAAGATAAACGTGTTCCCAAAAGAACTTGGGAACGGACCCATGAAATCTATCCCCCACACATCAAAAAGTTCAACCACCAGGATGTTGTTCAACGGCATCTCATCTCTTTTTGAAATATTACCCATCCGTTGACATTGGTCACACTCTTGAATTATCCAGAAGGAATCCCTAAAGAGGGTTGGCCAAAAAAACCCTGATTGTAAAACCTTAGCTGCTGTTCTAGCTCCCCCAAAATGTCCACCTACTTCCTTCTCATGACAATGCCTTAGAATGCTCTCCATCTCCTCCTCCAGGACACATCTCCGTATCATTTGATCAGTACAGTGTCTATATAGAAATGGTTCTTCCCAAAAGTAGTACTTCAAGTTTGAGAAAAATTTTCTCTTTTGTTGATACGTCATACCACTTAGGAGCACCCTTGATGACAAATAGTTTGCAAAATCTGCATACCATGGTGCTTCTTCCACTCTCATCAACTTCTCATCCGAAAATGTTTCTGTAATTGGCATTTCCTCCTCAATTCCCTTGATTGGTCTCTCGATTCTCGACAAGTGATCAGCCACCAAATTTTTCGACTCCTTCTTATCTCGAATTTTCAACTTGAACTCCTGAAGTAGTAAAATCCATCTTATCAACCGAGGTTTTGCTTCTTGCTTTACCAATAGGTGCCGGAGTGCCGAATGGTTCGTGTAGACGATCACCTTTACACCTAACAAATAAGAACGAAACTTGTCAAAAGCAAAAACTACAGCCAACAATTCTTTTTTAGTGGTGGTGTAATTCAATTGTGCATCAACGAGTGTTTTGCTAGCATACTGAATTATATGCAACACTTTGTTTTTCCTCTGTCCTAAAACTACCCCTAAAGCAAATTCACTAGCATCACATATTAATTCGAAGGGTAGTCCCCAATCGGGAACTGCAATAATAGGTGCAGATACTAATAATATTTTCAGAGTTATAAAGGCATGCATGCAATCATCGTTAAAGTAAAAAACAACATCTTTATTTAATAAATTGCAAAGGGGTTTAGAAATTTTAGAAAACTCCTTGATGAAGCGTCTGTAAAACCCCGCATGCCCTAGGAAACTTCGGACTACTTTGACATTTGATGGTGGTGGCAGCTTCTCAATCACTTCTGTCTTTGCTCGATCAACTTCAATTCCATCCTTGGAGATCCTATGCTTGAGCACTATTCCCTCTTGGACCATGAAGTGACACTTCTCCCAATTAAGCACCAGGTTCGTCTCCTTACATCGCTGCAAAACAAAAGAAAGATTAGTTAGACAGCTATCAAATGATGAACCAAAAACTAAGAAGTCATCCATGAAAACTTCTATAAACCGTTCCACCATGTCCCCAAAGATTGACATCATGCATCTTTGAAATATTGTTGGTGCATTGCATAATCCAAAAGGCATCATTTGGTAGGCAAAGGTGCCGTAGGGGCAAGTGAAGGTCGTTTTTTCTTAATCCTCAAGAGCGATGACAATCTGATTATATCCTGAATACCCATCCAAGAAACAGTAGTAGGCATATCCTGCCAACCTCTCCAACATCTGATCAATGAAAGGTAATGGAAAGTGATCCTTTCTTGTCGCTATTAGGAAACGACCCGGTTGCGCAGCGGAAAAGAAAAATTTTCAACCACGGATCGTTCCTTAGAACCCAAAATCAAGGCACAGATTTTACAGTTTATGCATAATAAGAATCTGCAGAAAAATAAATCCAAAGGTTTGAGAAACCATACCCACGTTGGAGGCTCCACCAATGTTGTCTCTGAATGTGTTTGCTACCGATCCAAGTGTAGGATCGAANCAAAAGCTCAATGATACGGAGCGGCGATACACGGTACAAGAGAAAGAGATGACAGCCGTGGTGCATTGTCTACGCACTTGGCGACATTATTTACTTGGGTCCAAATTCTTAGTGAAGACGGACAATGTGGCAACAAGCTATTTCCAAAGTCAGAAGAAACTCAGCCCCAAACAAGCTAGATGGCAAGATTTCTTGGCCGAGTTCGACTATGTGTTGGAGTACAAGCCCGGGAAAGCTAATTTAGTAGCGGATGCATTGAGTCGGAAGGCCGAGTTTGCAGCCATAAGCAAGATACAAGGGGATCTTCTCCAGCTTATAAAGGAGGGTCTCGAGCATGACGCATTGGCCAAGCAACTCATTTCCTTAGCTCAAGGTGGCAAGACCAAGCACTTTTGGGTAGAAGATGGCCTCCTGTACACCAAAGGGAGAAGGGTGTATGTTCCGAAGTGGGGAAATTTACGAAGGAACTTAATCAAGGAATGTCATGACACCAAATGGGCCAGACATCCCGAACAAAGGCGCACTCGAGCACTGTTAGAAGCAGCTTATTATTGGCCACAAATGCGGGACGATGTGGAACAGTTTGTGAGAACTTGTCTTGTGTGTCAACAAGATAAGGTCGAACACCGAAGCCCTGCTGGATTACTAGAACCGTTGCCCACACCGAGTCGACCATGGGAGAGCATCTCAATGGATTTCATAGTGTGCTTGCCGAAATCCAAGGGGTTTACTACCATTATTGTCGTGGTGGACAGGTTGTCGAAGTATGCTACCTTCATCCCCGCACCAAAGGAATGTACAGCGGAAGACATGGCCAAGCTCTTTTTCAAGCATGTTGTGAAGTATTGGGGTCTTCCAAAGTCTATTATAAGTGACTGAGACAGTCGGTTCACTGGGAGATTTTGGACCGAATTGTTTAAACTCATGGGGTCAGCGCTGCACTTTTCTACAAGTTTTCACCCTCAAACTGATGGGCAGACCGAGAGAGTGAATGCTTTGTTAGAGATTTATCTACGGCACCTTGTGAGCGCCAACCAACTTGATTGGGCAAAGTTGATTGACGTAGCCCAATTTTCATACAACTTACAGAGAAGTGAAGCCACCAACAAAAGTCCATTCGAGGTGGTAATGGGTCAGCAACCACTCACGCCGCATACTTTGGGTACAATTTATAAGGGGAGTAGCCCCGCAGCATTCAAAGTTGCTAAGTCATGGCATGACCAAGCCGACATCACACGAGTGTACCTCGACAAAGCAACTAAGAAAATGAAGAAATGGGCGGATAAGAAACGGAGGCATGTAGAGTACAATGTGGGAGATTTGGTACTTGTCAAAATCCTTCCATCACAACACAAATCCACCAGGCCACTACACAAAGCCCTTGTCCGAAGATACGAGGGGCCATTTCCCATAATCAAGAGGGTCAGTAATGTGTCTTACAAGCTTGAGCTACCTTCTTGGTTGAGACTTCATCCGGTCTTCCACGTGAGTTGTTTGAAGCCATACCATGAAGATACGGAAGATCCAGGAAGAGGAGAACCAAAGCAGGTACCATTTGGCAACACCAAGTTCTATGACAAGGAGGTGGAGCGTGTGTTAGCCGATCGCGTCGTTTGACAAAAGGGCCATCCTCCAAGTCGGGAATACTTTGTCAAATGGAAGGGGCTACCAAAGAGTGAAGCTAGTTGGGAACCCGAGAGTGCATTGTGGCAATTCAAAGACAAGGTCCGAGAATTCCACGAAGAGTCGATGAGGACCTCTCCGGATTAGGTGGGGGAGAATGTGACGCCTCTCAAGCATTTCATCAAACACTTGGTGTGCGTCACCCGGATAATCTAGAAGCTTCCGGAATACTCTTGTATATGCTAGAATTTTGTAATTAATGTGGTAGTTGGTAGATAGTAGTTGGTAGGTGGTAGTTTGGAGTAGTAATCTCCACCGTTGATCTCGGAAGATCTAGACTGTTCATTGTATACTCCAACTACTATAAAAGGGGGAGGCCTTCTTTTGGCCAAACCATCCAAAAATTGTAAAGTTCTCTCAATTAGTAAAGAATTCTCTTCTAGCATCTCTTGTGAGTTTGTGTGAGTGTTTTCTTACTTGCAGGGCTAGGAGGGTGAGCAAGCAAGGCTGACTTAGGGCAATCATCGAGAGATTAGCACCTAAGGCCGAGCGAGTCCGGAGGGAAGCAATCGGGTCGTTACACCAGGGACAACCATAAGAAGAAAACATGGACTTCCTTATCATGTGCTTTTCATAAGTAGCAGGCTGATTCAACCCCGCCCCATATTAGGGGAAGGCCCACTAAATTATTGATATTTTTTACTGTATATATTTTAAAAAAAAAATTATAATATTTAATATTATGTCAAATTAAATTGTAAAACGAAATTTTTGTTTTAAATATTTTTCTTTATATATAAAAACATTCTATGGAAACTAATTGAACGATAATTATTTTCATAATTGTTCCTTATATGTACTGAATGCTATGGAAAATTGAATGATATTATTTATTTCACAATATTTAAAATTGAGTAGCATTAAACACTCTGTCATAATTATCTTATTTTCTTTATAGGAATAAAAGTTATTTTTGTTATTATATATTGAATAAAAATTTGTTTTAATAATTATACAAAATGACTTAGATGCTCTTGATTATTTTTAAAGTGAATGTAATTCTTAAATTCTAAATTAAAAAAAAATATATATATATAAGGAAGACCAAAACCAATTTTTTTTAAAGGAAATCAAAAAGGACAAAAAAAAAAATTAAAAAACTAGAAGAAAATTCAACAAAATTAAGAACTATAAAATATTTTATTATTTATTTTGTAAAAAAGAATAATTATTTGTTTAGTTTTTTTTTAAATAATTCTTTTATGTAGCAAAAAGAATAATTTAAATTTGTTGAATCTGATCCTAAGTAACTCCTTGTTGTCCCTTAATTAAATGATTTGTAACTTTTATCGTCTCATTGTAAAAGTCAGGAAAATTTATAAATGTCCCATGAAGATATAGTATATCAAACTTAAAGACTACTAACTTATGGGACATTTGCATATAAGATTATGATAATCCGTAAATTATACAGTTTTTATATGATCTCTTTGTCGGATTT